TCACTCAAGAACTAAATGCGTGCTAGTTGGAAGAAAAAGAAGTGGTTTGCAATATCTGTGTAGTTAGTTCTTGATAATTTATGCATATTGGTAATAGGGAAATGATTAAATAATGGAAACCTGTATCATTCACAATTGCATAGGCAAAATTTTTAGGCATATGAGTAGTTGATTGATCTGGTGCCCCTCTAATTTCCTGATTAGGTACCAGTCAGGAAAGTATGTGGTGGTCCTAAAAGTTGAGTAACAGAAAGGAGAAAGATAAGGAAAAAGAAAAATGAACTTGGTGTTCTCAAGTACCCAAGATTTATTTATTCTTGTAAGAAAGATGGTTTGGGAAGGGAGGGGGAAGATGCGCCTCACAGAGGATCTTGTCATCTGAGTTCCTAGGCTGAACACAGGCTCAGAACGGAATGGAAATGGAATGGACAGTAATGGAAATTGATGGAAAGGAATGCAATGGAATAGAAATGGAATGGAGTGGAATGGAATGGAAATGGATGGAAATGAATGGCAGTGGAATGGAATGGAATTTAAATGGAATGGAAAAGTGTGGAAATGGAATGGAAAGAAATGGAATTGGATGGAAATAGAATGAAAATGGAATGGAAAGGAATGGAAATGGATTTGAATGGAATCTAATGGAAATGGAAATAATAATGAAATGGAATGGAATTGGGATGGAATGAGAATGGAATTGAACGGAGTAGAGTGGGTGGGAGGGTTAGGGGAAGGCTCATCCACCTACTGACCAGTCCAGCACTCCCGATCTGCTATCTCAGATTCCACATGACTAGGTAGGGAAGCCACTGACATCGCAAAATGGACTGCTTCCACCCAAGGGAAAAAAAAAAAAAAAAGAAAGATGGTTTGGAAAGAAATCATGTGACCTGGTAGGTATTGATGTATTCAAGTCTGCCATTATCTGACTGAGTAGTTCACATATGCCTTTCCAGGATTTTTCATAGTGCCCTATACAGTTTAGCACACTCCCTCTACCCACTTTTTATATCTTCATGTGTTCATACATTTCTTGCCCTACTTTGTCCTACTGATTGTCACTAGGAGCCACCAAGTAAGGATCTGAGGAAACAGGGAGGGGCAACAAGTGGCAGCTTTGAGTTGCTTATTAAATGAGTTTTCGTTGGAATGAGTTGCAGTAGCAAAAGTTACATGAAGCCTTCAAGATGGAAGGGAGGCAGGGATTCAAGGAGGAAAAAACACCCCAAACAGCAGACCTGCCTGAAGACCACTGAGAGTGTGGTAGAAACAGGTATCTTTTCTGCACACAAAAGCAGCAACTGCTGAGGTTAGTGGAGGCATGGGAATTGCTGCCAAAAAAACACACCTGCTTCCAGCCCTGCTGGTGAAATTACTTGGGGGGCACTTTGAGAAAAAGGAAGCAAGTTAGGGGGGAAAAAGGGGAGCTCTTCATGCGATGAAATCCTGGGTTGAACCCTGAGCAACCCACTCACCTCTGAAAACATCACAGTGTTTGATGAGACCATGTATCATTCACATCTGCAACACAGCTTAAAAAATGATAGGGCAAAGAGCAAGCAACCTCTTAATTGTGATCTGAGACATGCTGCTGTTTATCAGATACTCACAAAGCTCTTAACAGTCATGCGGTCAATCCACACCCAGTATTACAGGCAGGAAAACTCAGCACTCATTTTGAAAAATTTATTAAAATAAGAACAAGTAGCCATTGTATACAGAAATAGCCATTTGTACTAAGTGGTACTAGAGCAGAAGAGCGGTATTAAATATATTTTAAAAATCACAAAATAACATTGGTTAAGGCACAACATCCCATCTCATGGTTTCAATAAATAGGCTGTTTTTTAAAAAGGCAGCAGTGAGTACCTCTGATTAAATGAACATAGGCACTATACTATTAAAAACTATTATACTTTGCTGTAGCCATTGTTTTTATTTATTCTCAAAAGGACTTTCATTAACTAAGATTAACAGTAAAAAAAAAAAAAAGTCACAGTTTTCTGATTCCAGTTTGTCTCTTCCACAGAGACCTAGGTACAAAAGGTACTGTTTCTTCATATATTCCTTAGCAATGGGAATTATTACATAAAGTACACAGAAGAGTGACCCCCAGGAAGTAATGTCATCAGAGGTTGGCTAGCAACAGCATGGGTCTTTGGAAAAGTATTTTTTTTCAGCTGCAATGAAATCAGCTGGGTTTAGAAAACTCTGGACCTTTCAGTATCTAAAGCTATTTTGTAAGCATCCTGTGTTCAAGCAGCTGAGGGGAGTCAGACCCAGCTGCTCTGTTGTCCAGTGCAGGCAGAGCACTGGACTAGAAGTCAACTGGCCTGGATGCTTGTTCAGGGCCACGAGAACTTGCCAATAATTCCAACTCTGTTTTTGTTAGAGTGCTCAGCAGCTCAGGAAGCACACTATCTTAGTTTGTCACCTCTGAGGTGAATGGGTTGGATTGGATGTTTTCTGGGCTCATTTTCAGTTCCAACAGCTCACTGGTCTCATGGTGGGAGCTGTTTTTGCACACGCTGATGCTGCGGGTAAGAGGTGCAATTCCTCCTCCACAGGACACAAAGACCACAGCAAAGAGGAGGAAAGTCAGCTCTCTACAACACTGCCAGATTGTTTGAGTCCTGGGGGCAAATCTTTTCAAAGCACTCTGCTTTTTCATCGACAGTCAACATTTAACTGGAGTTATATTATTAACAGAAAGGCATGTTCTTCTCTTAGACAATATAACTCTCATGGCAGAACTAGGTTGCACAGATCTGAGGTTAAATTCATGTTTTCACACGTGTGGTTTCTCACATCAGGTCAGACTCAGCACACAGAAGAGACTGGGCAGTAAGGTTGTGTACAGACATGAGGCAAAATATCGCCAGGAGTCATGTTGTGAGCCACACCTCCTTTCAGCTGAGAAGGCTTTTTTGGTCAGTGGTGTAGAAGAGGCTGCTCATCTGATTTACTGTACTATTGGTATACGACATTGAGTGAGCACTGGCTGGCAAGACTTAAGCTAGAAAATATACTCTACTTCTTGGCAAGCATACTAGACACATGGTCAAAGCCTTAAGAAATCTGGGACCTACCTGCTCAGATGCAATAGAGAATATAACTAATTTCATTCTGAAATGATAATATTGCTTCCACCTGCTAAGATTTGGTCTTCATTTTGAAAAAAAAAACATATATATATATATAGCTCAGTTTAACTACATATAGATATAGATAGAGATGTTGACTTTAAATTATAGACACAATTTTACTTCATTCTAAAACCCAAATATCGGTCATTGAGAAGCAATTGGATACAAAACATCTAATCACAAAAATAGAAAAGGGAANTGCCTGTCACAGGGTAGCAACAGAGAGCTCAGCATCGGTAAATAACATCTACCTCAATGATTCCTGAAGTAGGTTATGGATTCTTAGACCACATTTTTTCTGTCTGTAAAATGCTTCATCTTCTAAAATGAGCAATTTGCTAATCTTCAGTTCAGTAAAGTAATTTGCAGAAAAAAAGGGAAGTAATGGCAGCCATCCATTCAGTATTTACTGTGTACCTACTCTGTTTATGGAAAGTGTCTTCAGTTGCTCTGCCTAACCCTGTGGGCTCTGAGCGCGCTGAGTAGGCCATAAATACTCATTGAAATCTTTTTCTACATTGATTTCCTTTTACTTCATGTGCCAGGCACTCTATGCATGCTCAAGGAATCTATGTTGAAATATTTATGGACCATCTACTACATGTGACGGTATGTGCTACAACTTTAGGGGACATAAAATGTGAAAGACCAGGTCTTGGCCTTCAAGGGACTCTTATTCCAATTAGAAGCACACTGCGATGCCCTGGTGAGTTCCCCAAAGGATCAAATGTTGCCTCGCCACTCCAACTGCACAAATGTAAAGAACCGCCCTCTGACTCCTTACCTGGCTGGCTCGTAGAAGTCCATGGCTTTTTTGGCTTTGTTGTACGCAGCCACTCGGAATGGAATGATTTCCACAGAGGTGAGGCCAGGGGCCATGCTCAGGACCTTGCCCCCATGGGTGGGCTCATACAGGTCTTTCTTGGTCTCAGGGTGGGGCATTCCTGCAGGGTCCCGGCCCACAATGTAGAAATTGGTCCCCGCAATCATCCGAGACCTGCAGTGCCACTGGACCTAGGAAACATATAAGGGACATCCTGGTCATTACTGGCCAACTCTGGGGGCTTCTGTTTAGAGATGCCTTCATTCTGTTGAAAGTCAATATTGTGGGTCAAGGAATAATCTCAAGATAGTCTGGGAGGTGTCTAAGAGTCTGTGCTCTTCCTGCTTGGTTACACTGGGTAGATAGGAATTGTGAAGATAAGAATCCACTCGGCCCCACTGCTAGGCCCTCACCCCACCCCGCCTCTTAGAATCTGAGGTTATATTTCCTTATCTCCTCTCCCAATAGGATAGCAGACCAGAAACACCAATCTTACTGTTCTACAGAACTATGTTGGAATTTTTTTCCAATCACTCCCTATTCAGAATAAATCAGTTTAAAGAAAATTATAAACTCAACATCTCTTATTATCTACCAGTAATGAGTCAATTATATGATGACATTGATTCCAGCTCAACACAACATTGGGATTTCACAATGAATTGCCCCCTTTAAAGCTCAGATAGAAATACAGAGGATAAGAGTAGAGAGCTAGAGGCCTGGAACTTTGATCTGGCTGAAGGGAATTTATTAGACTCAGTTTGGGGCATTCCAAAGAGTTGAGACCCTTTCAATTCATCATACTTCCCACCAGCTTGTTCAAATCCATAACACTGATGCACAGTGGAACTAAGGAAGTCTCTGTTTGATAGACTCACTGTGTTATGATTAAAGGGGAACATTTAAGCTTTTAAGGACATAATCTCCTGTCTAATGTAGCTCACAGGGCATGATGAATCAGAGTAACTGGAACTTTTCTTAGAAATCAAATATTAGTTAGATACAACTTGCCCTGTAACACAGCTAAGCTGCATATTCCTTCTCATTCACACACCAACCTCCATATTCCCACAGGCAATGCACAACAGGTTTGATTTCATGTTTCTAGCATTTTTACAAATACTAAATGAAACCGTAAGTTGGATAGAGACCAGAAGAGTCTAGAAAATCTGCTCATGAGAAGGATCTGAGAGACTCATTTGCTCTTCTCAGTAAATTCTGAGCCTGCCCTTCTGAGTCCTGTAGCCCACCTCAGAGAACTCACCTCTGTGGGGCCAGCATATAACATGGGAGATGGAAAGATGGCAATGATGGTTGACTTGGCATCCAGGACCCCTTCCTCCAGCACAGCTGCATGCTGCTTCATCCGCCAGTCCAGGGGCACATCGTCATCCTTGGTCCAGCCACCCAGAGGGTGGAGCAGGAGAACTGGGTGCTTGTAGCCCCTCTCCAGGAGCCGGCGGTGGGTGTCCTGCATCAACAAGGCATGGCCATTGTGGACAGGATTGCGCAACTGGAATGCAAACACTGCATCTGGGAAGGGAAAGCATAAAAGCCAAGGTCAAAGAAGTGCAGTGTACTGGTCTGCAAGAACCGAAAGGGAAGATGCAGCTATGTTTATCGTCTCCTGCATTCATGATATCTACTTATGATACTCAGTTGGAGAATCCACCTCAGTCGTTCGGGGTGTTACTCTAAAGGTATCTGCCAGTACCAGACTGCACAGACTGGAAGAGAACACAGAGGCAGGAAGCCCTATGGGGAGAGCCTCACTCAGAAATGAGAACATTTGTTGCCAGGACCTTCCCTTCAAACCAAGAATCAGGCAGGGGCCGGCATGAATCGGTCTCATACCCTGTTCCAGGCTCCCTCTCCCAGGCAGGTGAATAATGAGGAACATTTTCTGGGACCTTTGCAAGGTTTTAACAATCTTAAGATGTAAAAAATATTTCACTGTCACTTTAAAGAAATCCTGAAAAGTGCTCTAGTTAGTGACTAAGTGGACTTACAGACTACTGAGAAGCTTAATTTTTCCCTCTGGTTATGAAATAAATTAATATATATCCATTATAGAAAAAACTTGGGAAATATAGAAAAGCCCAAAATAGAATATAAAAATCACCTATGATCCTATCATTACTCTTTCTCCCTCTTTTTTCAAAATATGTAAAGTGACGATCTTCCCCTCTCCTCCCTAACTCCACCCCCAAGAGGCAGTTGCTATCATCAGCAGCTGGGCGCCCATTGCCAGAGACTTCCACTTCTATGCACAGAAGTAGGGTGAGGTATTTTAAGCAATTTTTTTTTCAAATTTATGTTATACATGTTCTGCAATTTGCATTTTCACATAATAGATAAACTTTGGGTATCTTTCTCTGTCAGTGCATATTTTTAACTGCTGCATAGTAGTCCAATCCATGGACAGATGTACTTTCAACTTTATAAACTGTTTCTAGTCTGTATCAATAGTCATGTCGATAGACGTTTCCAACTTTTTAAAACTATAAACATGCTGATTCCTGATATCCTTAATTCTGTAATCAAAGGGTGGAGAAGAGTATTAACAAATGTAGTAGAGCCAGGTTACATACCAGCATTCATTTCTTTACATTTCTGTTTGAGTTCTAGAGGTGTCAGGCGGTACTGGTCCAACCCATCATTCCATCTTATTCTCTCCAGCACCTGAAGGTCTCCACCAACCAGCCAATCTCCACTTTCCATTACCATCTAGAAAGATCATATTAAAGTTAATAGTGATTAAAATTGATTTCTATTTTATCTGAAAAAAACTTTCTCCTCTCGGATCAATCTTGGATTACTATTGAGCTACCTTCAGTTCATCAGCATTGTTAGCATAGTATCGGTCAGATTTTTGGTCTCTAACCCCTTCACTCTCTTAAGAATATTGAGGACCCCCACCGAGCTTTTGTTTATGTAAGTTACATCTATCATTTTCCATAATGAAAATTAAACTGAGAATTTAAAAATATTTAATTTGCTTAAACTTTAAAAATATTTATTGATTTGCTTAAAACTAACAATAACAAACCTATCACATGTTAACACAAATAACATTCTATTTTTTAGTGAAAAATATACATTTTGCATAAGAAGAGAAAAAGCATTGTTTCACATGCCTGCAAATCTCTTTAATGTCTGACTTAACAAAAGACAGCTGGTTTCTCTTATCTGCTTCTGCATTTATTCTGTGGTAATATGTTGTTTTGTTGGAAATATATAAAGAAAATCCAACTACCGGTGGGTAGTTGTAAAGGGAAGAATATTTGAATTGCCTTTTTATATAATTGTGAATATTCTCAACACCAAAACTCAACAAGTGCTAATTTCTTTTTTTTTATGGAAGTATTGTTGATATACAATCTTATATAACAAAGGCTAGTTTTTTAAAGGTAGATTGCACTGTGGATATGGAACTATATCAATGTACTTTTCATACTTTCTTACATTAAAATCTACTGTACTTTGAATTATTCTTCTACCCATGAATGATTTGTAACATTATGTATTACTGAATTAGAAAATATTGATTCACTGAGTTTATAAGTCTCCCAAACATTGAAATATTTCATTTTCAGATATTAAAAAACCCACATTTGTTAATATCACTACTAGTCTCATCAGAAAAATTTTTAAGTATTGGGAAGCTGCCAAACTCACAGTGACAAATAAGAGCTTTCCAAAACTTTTTGCATGAAAGCTCATTTTGTCATTGACAACCAATACTCTCAGTTGTTTTCCTTCAAGTGACAGGTTCACTTTGGGTTTTTTTGAAAAATATTTCCCAAATACCCAAGTCTGAATAACCGTAGTCTGTCAGTCATTCTTTCAAGTAAAAATAGTGTTCCATGAAAAAAAAAGTGGCTAGTTTTGTCTGTAGCTCAATCACACAAGTTTGCCTTGAGATAACCATCATACATTGGCGTATGTAGCAGGAAGTGCTTTAAGGGTCCTTCCCACTTTGTAACACGAGTTGTTAAAAAACATGATCTCAAGAGTCGAGAACATTTTAAGTTAAGCTGGCACTGTTTTTACTGCAAGTGCACGGTGGTGAGGGGTGCATTATGAGTACAGCCAGTTGTCACTGTCTTGAGTCTAAGGCACCAGTTTTACCACCCAAGGCTTTTGCATCAGCAATGCAAATGTCAGCACAATGAAAAAGAAAAGTAACATCTTACTATTATGAATATAGTTTGGGGCTTGGGGACGAACCACTGCTTGCACCTTCCTGATACAGCTTGATGTGTCCTAGACTATTTTCAGTAAGGGCCCAAAATAGAGGCCCTGGGAAAAAATACCAGCAAGTTGTTTTCTCCTAGTTAATAATTGCTAAGTACAGTTTCTGTGGAAACTCTCCAAAGAAGCATCCTTCTTAGTTACCTCTAATTTAAAAACAAAAAGCAAAATCGGCAGCAAAATGTAGCCAAACCCGCATCCAAGGCTAAGCACAGACAGATTAGCTAAAACCCCATTTTTCTCAAATAACCTTTGAAAAGGGTACCAAGACCACTTGATGGGGAAAGGAAAGTCTCTTTGACAGTGTTGAGAAAACTGGATATCCATGTACAAAGGAATCAAGTTAGAGCCTTACTTTATACCATATACAAAATTAAGTCAAAATGGATTAAAGATCTAAATGTAAGACCTAAAACTATAAAACTCCTAGAAGGAAACAGAAGAAAAGCTTTATGACATTGGACTCAGTAATGATTTCTTTTCTTGGATATGACACTAGAGCATGGACTATAAAAATAGACCAATGGGACTGCTTCAAACTTGAAACATTCTATGCATCAAAAAAACATGACAGAGTGATTTTAAATATGGAATGTGGTTTCCATTTGTATGCTTACCCTGGGCCTCACTAACGTCAGGGGTGAGCCTGGTGTGAATAACGGTCAAATAAAGAAAAAGAAAAACAGGACAGTGTTATATGGAAGGAGAGGTTAGCAGTCCCCATGACGAGGACGGAAGAAGCCTGGGGCCTGATAGCGCATATATGGGTAAAGCACTGCCACCTGCTTGGTGGCATCAGGCCAGGATTTTCACATTACACAACTTAAACTTATTCAATGTTTTTTAAACCGATTATATCTCAGTAAAGTTGGTGGGGGTGAGAAAAACATGACAACTTTTGCTTTTTCTAAATTTAAATGTGTCCTGTATCATGTTGCAATTGTAACTTACAGCAGGTGTCTCTCCTCAGCCATTAAGACAAACATTTCAGAAAGTCTTAATCCTCAATCAAATAACGGTTTCACAGCCCTTCCCCTGATCAGATTCTGTAACTGCTTTTTGCACTGTCCCTGGACAGTGTGGCCACCTGGAATGTCAGCAGAGGAGAGGGAGGCAAGGAAGGGGAGAGAAAGCTGATTGATTTAAAGCACTTACCTAGAAGATGCCAAGGTGCTGACAGCATACCCATGGTTCACATTCTCTGTCATGCCCAGATACAGGGGTTAACAATACTTCCATTTCATAGGGGCTCAGGGAATGGGGGACTGGGATAGGGGGCAATTTTTCTCTCCTGGTGATATTTGACAACATCAGAAGACAATTTGGCCTGTCATCCCTGGGGTAGGGAAAGGTGTGCTCTTGGCATCTAGTGTGAAGAGGCCAGCGGCGCCACTAAGCATCGTACATTGCATAAGGCAGCTGCACAGCAAAGGATCCTTCCATTCAAATGCCAGCAATGCTGTAGTTGAGAAGCCCTGGCTACAGAGACAGTGGTTTTTAAGGGATTTGGTTGTTCTCATGGCCCCCTTTCTAAACTCTGTGCTCAGGAAAATCACTTAACAAGAATACTGTCAAATACCCATACTTACATTTACTTTCTTCTGATTGCTTAGACTATAGATGAAATTGTCAAAGAATCTAGACCCCCCTGGGGGGTGCAGTAACTCAGACTGGACGCTAGAGGTCTACCCTAGATTGTCTACTGGTGAAGGCAACATTGACTTCGATTTTGCTCACTAACGAAGCCTAAAAATGTGTCTGTTTGAAGAGCAAGGCTGCAACTATGCTTCTAGCTTTTCTGGGATGGGGAGGGACAAAGGGCATCTCTCTCCCAAGATGGACCACCTGTACCCAGAACTGTGGATCAGCTGTCAGGAAGGGAGGTCCTGTGGCTTTGCCTGATTTCCCAGGGCTCTGTGGTTTAGAAATCCCCACCTCTTCCCAGGCCTCCTACCACGGGCAGGCAAAGGATCACAGCTAAAGAGCCTGCAGAACTGGACGTGCAGAGGAGTGAGGAATAGGTTGTGAGGAAGCCCCCCAAGTAGTGAAAGGGGAACTGGGCTGGAATCACAGACCAAAGGAGCAGAGGATGAGCTCAAACCCTAGGAGGGGGGGACGAAGCCAGCCACGGGGACAGGCTCCATGGGGGCGAGGAGAGGGAGACTCAGCAGAAACCCCCTGGGGATGGCGAGGGAATGGCCAGTTGGAAGGAGAGGAGCAGCTGATGGGGGGCAGGCTCAGAGGGCAGGATGACAAGGGGAGAGGAGAGAAGCCAGGGGACGGTCAGCAGGGGCGAGTTCAGGAAAATAAGGTCATGATGATAGCAGTCAGAGAACAGAATCAAGAAAAATTAACATGTGATATAAGCAGAGAGTATGTATTCCTTTCTGTGCTATCCATCAGTCATGGAATTCTGGGTCTGTAAGGAACTGGGAGATCATGTGGACTCAATGCCCTCATTTTCAGATGGGGAGGCAGTTATACAGAGAAGCGGCCATAGTCAAGTGCACACCGCTGCCTTACAGAAGCCAAGACACATCTAGGACTCTAGGGCCTTCTTCTCACTGCCCTCCTCAGTGGTCTCCAGGCAGATATTTCAGTATCGTCCTCAGTGGCACCTTCCATTCATGCTCCATGCAGTCAGCACTTATTATATGCCCATCCCGGGGTAGCTGCTGAGGATTTAATGGTGAACAAGACAGATTGAGGTGCGGTCCTTGATGTCACAGGCTGGCAGTCTGAGTGAGCTGACAGAAGAGTAAATGGGTAACAGTACTGGGGAACAGGGCTGGACAGGACGAGGGCAAACTGCTCTGTGAGAACAAAGATGGGCCACCCAGTCAGGTGGATAGGTCATGAAAGTGAGGCCATCTTCTCAAAGGAGGAAAGGAGTAATAAGGTGAGGAGGCAGGGATGGAGGGAACAGCATCCTAAGTTGAGGGACCAGCCCATGCATACATAAGAGAGATGAGGACAGAAGGCCCTGCAGAGAATGACGGGAGAGGAGAACATGTTGGGCAGTGGGGAGGATGAGGTGGAAAGATGAAGTCTTACTGTTAACAGGACTTCCCAAACAAAGTGTGAACAGTTCACTTTAGCTGAAGAATGGAGACAGGACCAGAGGGGTATAAGAATGAAATGTCCTGGCCCAGGTTGGAACAGCAGTGAACAAATTCAAGCAATACCTAGGATGTAGAATCATCAGGACTTGGTGATTAAATGAACAAAGGAGAAGAAAAGAAGCAAGAATGACATCCAGTTTTGGCCATGGGCCACCGCTTGGATGGTGGAGTTGTCTGCTAAGCTTGGCTAGGAGTCCCAGAAGGGAAAATAGGTCTGGGGAGATGTCATGCATGTTGAAAGTGAGGTGCTTGTAGGAGATACCCTGGCAGTGCCATACAGGAAACGGCTCCAAATTATTACCTAATGCTGCGGTTCTCAGCCTTCACATTACATTAGAATCCCAGGGAGCTTGAAAATTCCCAGTGTCCAGAACTGACCCCAACCCAATTAAATCAGAATCTGTGAGCATGAGACCCAATTGTGGGTAGTTTTTAAAGGTCTCCAGGTTCCTCTGTTTATCTAATTGATCATATATTCTCCATTGCAGTGCTAAAGGATATACACCATCTCATTCCTGTCCTTCACTGGGAAGTCATAGTCTTTTCTCTTGGTTTTGACATCTGTGTCCTGGCTGGGTGCTTCACAGGAGCATGGTGAGAAATAATTACTGGTTGGAAAAGTTTTGAGGGCCATGGAAGAAAGGCAACAGGGCTCCTCTGAGCATTATTTTTACAAGTTTCACCTGCACCTCCTCATGATTCCATCTGCAACCACATCACATGTTTCCTTATTAGTGGCTGGAAAGAGAGGGGTGGAATGACCTGAATGGAAGGTCAGGGTGACTTCAGGGAGGAACTGGAGAGGCAGACCATTTCTCTGGTGACTCTGGCCATTTTCCATGCATATATCACTCCCAGCGCCACAAGGAAATACCAGAGGCCCAGGATTACTTTTTGAAGGAATTACTTTTAAAAGGTTTGGGTTTAAAAAAAAAAAAATGAAAAACAAAACCATGCTTGAGGTATGATTGTGAATTTCAAAAATTAAAAAAAAAGTGCAGTGAAGAGTTCCTTGCCCTGTGAAACCCACATATTGCGTCTGGCGAACACACCTTCAACTCTCCAAGTGTCGTGTTTAAAGGGTAACTGGCTTTGGCTGGTCATTCATGGCCTATTTCTCACTACGAGCCCCCTGAGAATGTTTACAGAGTCTGTCTCATGACCTAATGGAACAGAGTCACTGACTATACTGTCAAGGCCACTGGTTCCACCACCAGTCTCCCTGGCTTCTAAGAAATTCTGAGCCCCAATTGCCAATACATGGTAGAAAAGAAGGTGAAAAGAAGTAATTGTTCAAGAGCATCCTTAGAATGTTTTTCTTTCAGTGCCAATCATTGTCTGTCGATGCTAGGACAAAGAGGGGAAATAGCTCAGCTGGCATGATGAAAGGTCACATTCTTTACGTCACTAGGTGAAAATAAGATCCCAAACCTGTATGATTATGACTGGGAATTGAACGAAACAGGCCCAGAACACAGCTCCTCAAATAGCTCTCAGTCAGCAATTACAAGGCCTGTCTGCCAGCCTTTGGACAGGAAAGGTTCAGATGACTTTGAGCTGGATGTGTGTTCAGATTAAAGATGCTTATCTACAGCTGGATAGCTACGTCCAATCAATGCAGAGATGCTCCACTTGCCAGTGACCTCTTGTGTTCAGAGGCAGCCAGCAAGGGCCTTGATAAAAGACCTCCCTACCTTGCAACATTCACGACTATGATGAGCAAACAAAACAACAAAACAGAAGTTTGCCTGACAGGTTCCAACAGATTTATTCAAATGTGTTATTTGTAGGGTCATGGAACTTGGAGAGATCTCAGGATTATTTTGAATTTGGGCCCGTTCCTTACAAATAAAGAAACCAAGGGCCAGAGAGAGCACTGGGCTTTTTAGAGTCTCCTGGGCCTCAAACTGCTCTCTACTCTGGTGGACTTTTTGGAACTTAACTACGCCAACACGTCAAACTACTACTCTGTGTCTTTTTAAAAAATGTCAATGCCCTAATGCTCTCATCTGAGTTGAGGAAAGGTTTGTGCAATTATTGCACATATTTTTCTGTATAGGAAATGAACCACACCCAGCAATTCCATAGTACTCTCTTCTTGCCATGGTATCACTGACAACAATCAGATGTATGAAGGAATCTGAGGAGTTTTAGTCTATTTTGACATTGGACAGGATAGACTCAAAATGATCCTAATCAGAGGAACACATTTTTCAGTCTTAAAATAGCCACTCATGAAAATGTGGCACCTTCCCTCTGGGAACTCTGGCTCCATTGGCGCTGATTTGTGTTTACCGAAAGGATGTCACTGACCCCGAGTCAATGGCCACAGAGCATGAACTCTGTCTCTCTCCAGTGGCTGGTTGGACTCATTCTGTATGAAGAAATTTACTTCCCTTGTGAATTTTCAAGATGCACAGGACTGCAAGCTCTGGCCATGGTTTTGTGCATAGCCACAGCTATGAGTTTGGTCCTCTCCTCGAGATGCCAGACTTAAATTATTGGCTGGACCCAGTTGTTTCCCATGTAGCTGGGGGAGCCTGCCGTCACAGGGTCTGAGGACTCAAGAGATCGTTCAGGCCAGCCCTCAACCAGAAAGACATTTTCTGTGTCTCTTCCTAACAAAGATATCCAAAGGCAAAGCTGGAAAAGCCTCCCCGAGACGTGTGTTCTTCCATCTAACCCATTTTCTCAGTCCTTTGTGAAGGAATTAAAGAGTTACTCTTGTCCTAAGGTGAAAAAGATCAAGAAAGGCCTTTGGAAGGTTCTGCAACTTACTTTGATGTGGGGATGTTTTGCACACGTCGTCCCCCACACACGGGAACAACGCTCTTCTTTTCTATGTTCGTAGAATTCAGGGTCTTGTAAGATAGCCACCCTCCGTCCGCCATGGGTCAGGACAAGCTCACTGCACCCTTCCAGGCGCGTCTTATCATCCGCAGAGACGGGCAGGACGATAGGGATGCTCATGTTGATGACTCCATCTGTAGGAAGAGCCGCGGGATGCAAAGTGTGCTGTTCTGTAAGGATGACTCAAATGTGCACAGTGTTCCTTCCGATCATTTCCTCCAAAAGGCATTAAGACATATAGTTTTGGCTGCATGGATTCTCAAGAGTTTAAGATGATAAGTGTTTGAGGGGCTTCTCAAAGTAAGAGATGGGGCAGTTGTGGAAAATGGGCTGGCTGTGAAATCCCTGAGGTGGCTTCAGTAACCACAAGTAAGATAATGGGCACAGAAAGTAATGGGCTAAAACATCATACTGAACAGTGAGAAGCTGAAAGCTTTTCCTGTGAGATCAGAAACAAGACAGGGATGCCCACTCTCCCCACTGTTATTTAACATAGTACTGGAGGTCCTAGCCATGGCAATCAGACAAAACAAAGAAATGCAAAGAATCCATATTGGTAAAGAAGAAGGCAAACTGTCACTATTTGCAGATGACATGATATTGTACATAAAAAACCCTAAAGACTCCACTCCAAAACTACTAGAACTAATATCGGAATACAGCAAAGTTGCAGGATACAAAATTAACACACAGAAATCTGTGGCTTTCCTATACACTAACAATGAACTAATAGAAAGAGAAATCAGAAAATTCCATTCACAATTGCATCAAAAAGAATAAAATGCCTAGGAATAAACCTAACCAAAGAAGTGAAAGACCTAAACCCTGAAAACTATAAGACACTCTTAAGAGAAATTAAAGGGGACACTAACAAATGGAAACTCATCCCATGCTCTTGGCTAGGAAGAATTAATATCGTCAAAATGGCCATCCTGCCCAAAGCAATATACAGATTTGATGCAATCCCTATCAAATTACCAGCAACATTCTTCAATGAACTGGAACAAATAATTCAAAAATTCATATGGAAACACCAAAGACCCCGAATAGCCAAAGCAATCCTGAAAAAGAAGAATAAAGTAGGGGGGATCTCACTCCCCAACTTCAAGCTCTACTACAAAGCCATAGTAATCAAGACAATTTGGTACTGGCACAAGAACAGAGCCACAGACCAGTGGAACAGATTAGAGACTCCAGAAATTAACCCAAACATATATGGTCAATTAATATTTGATAAAGGAGCCATGGACATACAATGGCAAAATGACAGTCTCTTCAACAGATGGTGCTGGCAAAACTGGACAGCTACATGTAGGAGAATGAAACTGGACCATTGTCTAACCCCATATACAAAGGTAAACTCAAAATGGATCAAAGACCTGAATGTAAGTCATGAAACCATTAAACTCTTGGAAAAAAACATAGGCAAAAACCTCTTAGACATAAACATGAGTGATCTCTTCTTGAACATATCTCCCCGGGCAAGGAAAACAACAGCAAAAATGAGCAAGTGGGACTACATTAAGCTGAAAAGCTTCTGTACAGCGAAAGACACCATCAATAGAACAAAAAGGAACCCTACAGTATGGGAGAATATATTTGAAAATGACAGATCCGATAAAGGCTTGACGTCCAGAATATATAAAGAGCTCACACGCCTCAACAAACAAAAAACAAATAACCCAATTAAAAAATGGGCAGAGGAACTGAACAGACAGTTCTCCAAAAAAGAAATACAGATGGCCAAGAGACACATGAAAAGATGCTCCACATCGCTAATTATCAGAGAAATGCAAATTAAAACTACAATGAGGTATCACCTCACACCAGTAAGGATAGCTGCCATCCAAAAGACAAACAACAACAAATGTTGGCGAGGCTGTGGAGAAAGGGGAACCCTCCTACACTGCTGGTGGGAATGTAAATTAGTTCAACCATTGTGGAAAGCAGTATGGAGGTGCATCAAAATGCTCAAAACAGACCTACCATTTGACCCAGGAATTCCACTCCTAGGAATTTACCCTAAGAACGCAGCAATCAAGTTTGAGAAAGACAGATGCACTCCTATGTTTATCGCAGCACTATTTACAATAGCCAAGAATTGGAAGCAACCTAAATGTCCATCTGTAGATGAATGGATAAAGAAGATGTGGTACATATACACAATGGAATACTACTCAGCCATAAGAAGTGGAAAAATCCAACCATTTGCAGCAACATGGATGGAGCTGGAGAGTATTATGCTCAGTGAAATAAGCCAAGCGGAGAAAGAGAAATACCAAATGATTTCACTCATCTGAGGAGTATAGGAACAAAGGAAAAACTGAAGGAACAAAACAGCAGCAGAATTACAGAACCCAAAAATGGACTAACAGGTACCAAAGGGAAAGGAACTGGGGAGGATGGGTGGGCAGGGAGGGATAAGGGGGGGGAAGAAGAAGGGGGGTATTAAGATTAGCATGCATGGGGGGGAGGGAGAAAGGGGAGGGTGGGCTGCACAACACAGAGAGGACAAGTAGTGACTCTACAACATTTTGCTAAGCTGATGGACAGTAACCGTAATGTGGTTGTTAGGGGGGACCTGATATAGGGGAGAGCATAGTAAACATAGTATTCTTCATGTAAGTGTAGATTAAAAATTTAAAAAAAAAAAAAAAAAGAAAGAAAGAAAAGGGGGATTACTCCTTAACAGGATAAAACTATTGGTAAATCAAAGATCAACGCATGCTTTAAATATCCTTAATGTTGATCACTTAAAGGGTGTCAGATGATCAGCTATGGAGGTACTCTTTTCTGATAATATTCCTTTCTCTTAATTAAAAAAAAAAAAAAAAAAAGCAGTTACTGTGTGCTGACCTCCAATGAGTTCTGCACAGTGGTATAGAGGGCATGTCAAAGTGTGGGCAAAGGGTCTGTTTGTTTCTATGCAGAAGATCAAGGCCTAGCTTGGATACCCAGAAAATGAACTAAGATACGATATGAGGAGGAGCTTCCGGCATCAGCACTCTCTGGAGGACTTGTGCCGGGGGATGATCATCAAAAAGCCTCCACAGGGATCCGGACGATGCTGCGGTTGTGGCTGCATCCAGCCCACCGTCTCCTGGACTTGCCATAAGAAGGAGGAGGGAGATGTCTAGGCTGGCATGTGCATACAGTGAGACAACGAATTTGACTGGATCTGTACTGTTGGAACTCAACCAGGAGTTGGGAGGGGTGCAAGTTGTAGCACCCCAAAATCTCATGACTATAGACTATCTATGGTTAAAAGAACATATGGGATGTGAACAGATCCCAGAAATGGGCTGCTTTAATTTGTCTGATGGTTCAAGTACAGTTGGAAAATATCCATCATATCATAGATAAATTTTCACAAATGCCTAGGGTGCCTAAATGGTTTTCTTGGCTTCACTGGAGATGGCTGGTAATTATAGATTTGCTTTGTTTATGTCACCGTATTCCTATTATGTTAATATGTGTGTGCAAATTAGTTAGTAGTTTAAAACCTATACATACTTAAGGTACTATACAAGAAGATATGTCAAAGAAATAATCAATCCTCCCAAGTTTCCTTCATATGCTACATCTATAGCTTTTCTTCTTCCTTCCTAATTACAACCCTTAAATAGAATTCGTGCCTCATATCGAATTTACCGAGTATCATAATTCCTCCAGGTGGTAAAGATACCTCGAGACAAGTGCTGGGCATAGAAGCCACAGGGCATAAATCTGCAAAGAAGTAAAAAGCTAACCTTTTCAAACAATATGGCTTCTCTCTCACTTACCAACTTTACATTTCCCTGTATGGCCCCGGAAGATGACTGGTTAGCCAGAGACGGGTAAGATTCCTCAAGGGAGGAACAACCTAAGACAGGCACAGTCACAGGGGGGCCATCAGGTGAGAAATTGGGGATCAACAGAGGTGAGGCTTAGAACCTCACCCCCACTGTTTTGAGAGAAATCTTCTGCATCCGTGGATGTTTTGTTGCGCTTGTCTAGCTTGGATTAATACTTAGGCTATAGGCACAGACCTGATCGTCTACATTTGCCCTCTTACAGCACTAAATTATGTTTTCTACCTTTATCTTGCATCTACCTACCACTTCAGCATTTTATTAAAAAAAAAAAATAAGGGAGAGATGTGGGATCCACATATAAATCAAGTATAAAAATCAAATGAATAATTATATCTGACTTGATTGTTTATAGTTCATGATGTGTGATCAAAACCAAAAGTTTCTGTGATATGACTGCCCTTGCACTGTTCACCATGTAGGAACTTATTCACTATGTAAGAACTTGTTCACCATGTGAGAACTTGTTCGTTATGCTTCAGAAGATTGGAGACTGTTGAGAATTAGGCTTGGGGTTGATTAATGATTGTGCATCGAGTCCCCCATACAGAATTTTATTGTTGTTAACAACCATTTGATCAATAAATATGAGAGATGTCCTCTCAAAAAGAAAAAAAGAAAGTAATGGGCCTAGTCATTGGGATAAACTCCTTTGTTTCAAAGTTCATAGGCAGTAAGAGCACCCCACCCCCCACTCTGTACAGAGAACTAAACTCGAAGTCAGGTGTTCTCCCATTTACTACCTATGTTATTCACCTTCTCTGTGCTCAGTCTCCTCACTTGAGAAATGGGATAATAAATAATGTGCATAATTCCTGGATTGCCAGAGGAGGCATACAGTAAAGCACCATATCAGTGGGGGTTTACGATGAAACCCACCGCGCAGTCTAGGAGAAAAAGGGAGAAGCAAACAAAGGCTAATACTTTCAAAGATGTTGGTGATCTAATTAGAAATCATGCATTCTGTATACTGCTGACCACACTGCTTGCAAAGAGCCACTTGACCCAAATAAGTTAAAGGAAAAAGTGAAATTTGCACAGCCCAGCTCTGCCTGCACCACACTTGCAGTGCTGTCTTCCATCAATTATTGAAGTCCAACCTCTGCTTTCCTGCCACAATCACCTCCTTCAGTCCACTAGGTTCCTGCCCTAGGTAGCCTCTGATCTACCTTCATCCTGACCTCGAGTGAAAATCCAAACTGAGCAAGCAGCGCTCCCTGACACGTTGTCAAGATAGGAGAGCTACTCCATGGGATGTGAAGGAAAGTTCTACCCAGGAGCAATCACAGCAGATCTTATACACCTTTGTGTGTAGCTACAGCTCCACATGGTACGAGCAGACTTGCTGTGGTTTCCCTATCATCTTTACCAGCTTCTCTAATGTATAAACTTCTCCAGCAATTTAAACTCTGTACTGAAACATGGACGGGCTTTGAGTCTTGTGCCATCATGTGCTTCAGCTCCAGTGGGAGCCACCCTGCTTGTGATGGTGTGTCTCATTTTGGAAGAGTACAGTGGTTCTTGAGCCAGGGTTACTCCCACACATAACTTCACAGTGAATTGAATGAGTTTGCTTTTGCTTAATAATTTTCAAGCCTTTTGTTTTAACCTTGCAGATCTGCTTAGCAGTTGTTTGGGACTGTTCCTAAGCAAAAACTAAAGTACTTTTTATTGCTTAACTGGCTTTTTAAAGGAAAAACAACAGGGATGAATATAATAGCACACATAAATAATATCTTCTGAATTGTACATTTTCATTCTGATTTAATGGAGAAGTTGACAGTCATAGCAAATATGTATTTACTCTTAGTTCTAGAGCTAGCAATCATCATCACTTGAAATTAAATTTGTGCATAATCACACATCACAAACAATCACCCACAATCCAACCAGGTGCATCCACTTTAAGTTGCATCTGAAATTAACTTATCCTTCATCAATTAAAAATGTTTTATAAATGCAGTAGAAAAAAATTTCCACATTTGTGAGACTAAATGAGGACCAATACTTGAGTAGAAGTAATTAGCAGAAAGGATCACAACTTTTAAAAAATCTCAGCAACAAAATGTGCAACAATAATCTAGAAACAAGTTTACTTTTGTCAGCCAAATACATTATAAACCATAGCTGCATATGATCCAGAAGTTTCCTGTTATTTGGACTCCAATCAACAGAAAAATGTAGTATTATTCTATTAAAACTGGTTGGATCATGAACTGTTAGTAATTCCAAATGGTTCATTTGGATTTCTTTTAGTTATGCTCCTAACCATTTATAATTAATGTAACATGTCTAATTATAATAATTTAGCTACTTGGAAAGTTAAAGTACATACCAGGAAGGACCATGCCTAGAGAAATACAAACACAGTTAAGAAACATATTTTCAGCTCTCCACCAAAATAATCTCAAAGTGACAATGTTAAGGAACAAATTCCTGTTATGAAACTGAACATGCACCATACAAATGTACTAGCTCTTGCTACTGCTATTTTTAAAAACAGAGAATATATAACAGCAAAAAGCTGGTGAAACCAGAATTGAATATTGTTTAATACAATCCAAAAGCACTATTCAGATGGTTATCTGTTTTAAATTATTATAACATATGTCAATAGCCTCTCCAACTTCAGCAAGAAGTTGTGTCTTGCAAATATGTGATGTTAAATTGTTCTAAGCCAGATTTGGGAGTGTATAGAGGTAAACTGCTCTAGAACATCCTAGACTCCCATGTTTTAGAGGACATGAAAGTATGGCCAGCAGAAAGGTACAAATACTAGAGCCAGGATAACCTGGATTCAATCTAGGCTTTGAGTGAGTTGTTCAACCTTTCCAATACTTATTTCCTCATATGGACAAAATATCTTCACAGTGGTGTTATCTGGACTAGATGTGACATCCTATGTTTAATGCCAGGTCAGATCATATTTGGTGCTGAATAAACACTAGGGGTATACATGGAAAGCCCTGAAGCCCTGCCTTGGGAAGTAAGAGCCATGGAATACTTGCCATTAAATGATCAAGTCTCACAAGGCTGCCATGTCTTGACTCTACTGGGATAGTACCAGTCAAGAACATAAGCTTGAGGATCCCTTTTTAAAATTAGATGTGACATTTACTATTGGAGAGTCTGAGACAACCCCAAAACTATATATCCAGCAACTTTTGACAAAATTAAAACCAACAAAATATATTTGGGAGACATGGTCAGAATGAAAAAAATTACACTTGCACACTGTAGGTGACCAAGAAATGTATGATTATTCAATGGTAAATGGAAGTGGCCACATGTCTGTAGAGACAGAAATATTTCAAATTTTCAAGGATGGTGACTCAAACTTTCATGAATGACTTAAAAATTAAACATCCATATGAATGATATCTTGCCTAACTTTCTGACACACAGATAAATCACTTATTGGAATCTAACTGTGTCTGTGCAGTCCAAAGCCAGCAAGCCAAACTGTGCCATGAGACAGTCATGGCTGTGCACAGGGCTGTGTGTGTCAACTGGCTGCCTCCAGTTATCTTCAGGGCTATTGTTCAAGGGAGAGGGAGGACGGATCCACCACTCCTAGAGCAGCAGTTCTGTTTTCACCTGTTGTGTATATTGTCCCAGATTTCACTGAAATGAAGCATTATCTGGCTTAGCCAAAAAACAGTTGGACAATGACTCATGTGGTAGGAAGAACTCACAGAAATAGGGGTCAGATGAGCCATACTGTCCATCCTAGGAGCCCACTTATGTCTGCATCACCACTCTATCTTCAGCAGCTGGAAAGAACCTTGGCATATGAGGACACTGAATAAATATTCGTTGGCTAGCTGATGAACATCTTATCTGTGCTCCTTCCAAACTGATGTGACAATGGATAAGCCACTTAGTCTCTTCAAGATTTTAAGTTCTTTAAATTGTATGTAACAGAGGTTTGATAATATGGAACATTCACTATTACACCAGGTATTCTTTGAAACTTTCAACATCCTAATGCAGTAAGTACTGTTAACATCCCTGTTTTACAGATGAGGGAACAGAGGCCCAGAGGGCTTAAGTAATTTGCCCAGGTTCATAGCTAATCACTAGTATTTGAGCCTGGACTCTGGCTCCAGAGCTCACACTGTTTTATATCCTGCCCTACTTAGGTAGAAGTGGGCAGCACATTATGTCCCTGGTATTGATTTTCATTAACTGATTTACAGAAGAGTTGAAGAGGCTTCTGGGGCATGTGAGGACTTTTGAATCCTAACTATAAGCGGGTTGCATAGGAATGGCCTATAAACTCTGGTCACAGGAGTAAATGGCAAAGCCAGCAGAAAATCCCCACAAGGAAAAAAATGGAGTCTTGCAGAGAGTCCCAGAAACAGAAACAGACCCTGCGGTTTGGAAAGGGGTTCGGGTTGTGGAAAAAGCATATCATCTGGTCTTAACACCTCCCGACAAAGCCACACTGGCCTCCACAGGAGAATATGGGATATGTACTGATCACCACAGTTGTTCACTCAATCCTTTAACACTATGGGACTCAAGCAACTGAGAGAGAGTCCTCAACTGAGGTCAACACAGAGGAAGGCAACATTCTCCTTCCTACTTGACAAAGAGTCTATGGACTGCCACAGCCTTCAGCCACGGGGACTTTACTGGCTGGAGCGAATGGGGGTCTGCACCTTTGTGGGTGCAGAGAGCCACAGGGGTCCCCACTGCTAGCAGCATGTGGCCATGGGCCTGACTCAGACACCCCGGAAACAAACCCTTAAGAATGCCCACAAACATGCGGGTGCAGGCTTTGACACCAACGGGGATTTCTGTATGAGCAAGTAGGGGGTGAGAGCTAGCAGGATTCAAGTATTAATGGAGAATGACCTCGTTCATATCTCCAGACTGGTGGGCTTTGGGGGCTAGACACCTGATGACATGGGATGTAGGAGCAGTAAGATGTATTTCATCCACCTCAGCATAGTGAGGACCAAATGATAAAAAGAAAATCAATGTGCCATGCAATAGAAGAACACCATGACATGAAATTGCGTGCGAGAGGGAGGGAGGGAGATTTGCCTAAATTACCCAGATGGGTTATCTACGTTAGCTGGTCTACACCTTTTTGGATCATAGACTCCTTTAAGAATCTACCAGAAAGTCTATTAACTCTTAACCCAGGGAAATGCCCCTTGTCCCCCTCTTGAAACAAACTGTTTTTGCCTACGCTAGTATGTTTTTTATTACTGCCTCCGCCCGAAGTTCTGGATCTGGGGTTAAAGTCAGGAGAGTCTGATCTTTGGTCTTAGACTTCTTGCTTACCAATGGTATGAGCTTGAGCAAAGCATTCAACCTAAGATCTGATGCCTCATCTATAAAGTTGGCTGATAATAACTGCCCGTCTTTGAGGGCTTTCAAAAGGACAAAATGAAATAAGGCCTAAGAAAATACCCTGAAAATGGAGATGTTCTGTGCAGATATACATTATTATTGTTAAGCAAGTTGTAAGTAAATCAAGCATGTTTTGGAATGCTATGTCACCTGAGAAATGAATGCCTCGGGTTGTGAGACCAGAGCAGAATAACAACGGGAGAGGGCCCATTTGGCCAGAGGCTTTTTGAGTTCTGATTCTGGCTTTATGTCCCATTCCCTAGGCACAGGCACAAGCCCAGAAAGTGAGCATCTCTTCTAAGAACATCTGATTTGATTTTTCTTCCTAAAAGGTCAGGAGCCCTGATCAGGGTTACAAACTCAGCGTGACTCTACCACCATCCTTTCCCACTTAGCAAGGCATTGAGACTGGCAAGTTCTCTTTGATAAGCTCAGGTAGCTCCGCGAAAGAAATGGTCATAGGAGGGTCTGCAACTTTTCCGAGTAACACGTTTCTGACCTTGACCAGATCAGTTCTCTAAAAGCCATTCAGCCTGTGCCCAGAAAACTGCTTCAATGTTCTCCTGCTAGAGTTTGGTGGATGGAGCCTCCTGACGTATTTCATGCGCATGAATATTGGTGCCTTAGCATCCACCAGGGGAAGCAACCACTGCAATAATGTTTGACAGAGAAAACCCAGAGGGCGAGAGGACCCCTGCAAGTCAGCAACATGTGCTGTTATCGCGGCCGCGTTGCCTGCCTTCTGAATATCAGGGCAAGTGGAGGTGAAACAGATTTAACCTTCTCTTGGCTTTGTGTGCAAGTAAAACCTTCGTTTTAAATAATAATTCTTAGAGGAGAACCAAAAAAATCCTACATATGCAAGTTTATATGTTATACAATTGGACATACCATCATTGCTCTCAATATTTTATAATAGATTTACAAACCAAGGATTAACATTTTTTGTTCCTGTGAAAATCTCTAAGTTTTTTTTCTTTAATAATAAAGAGTAAGAAACAAACAAGAAAACATACCATCTAGCAGGGTGTCAAAGTGTATGACCTGCAAGTACTCCTTCTCCCGCATGAAGCCTTTGAGGGGAGTGGCCCAGCCTTCACTCAAAACTTGAACCCATTGAAGATCTAGCTGCAAAACACAAAAAAGCAAGTGACCATGCATTTCCGTAAGCTCTGATTTCCAGCCTCTGGCCCCAGGGCAGGTCTTTCTTACTCAGTTGACTGGAGAATGAAGGCAGAACCTTTTATGTTGTAAGTGTTTCCATATGTTAATGATGACCCATGATCTAGAGGCCAGATTAGTTTGAGTCTAGAACTTTCCTAAGACAGAGTGATGAAAAGATTTCAAATTGAGATAAATCATTGGAACATTTCAGGCTGTATCTATCCTATGATATGCAACTCTGTTGAACATTCGTTGTTCATTCACTCTTTTTTCCATAAAAATTCTGGTTTAGCTCCATTTTTTTTCCCCGTTAAATGTACTAGTTGACTGAGTTGGGCAAACCATGAACTCTAACCTAAAGGCCCAAAACTCTTAGTATGACACTGAAAGCCCTGGGGCTCATGTGGGGAATTCCACTTCCTCCTGCTCCCTGCCAGTGGGTGTATTCACCAGCCAGGCCACATAACATATAGTCTAAATATCCATGTGCCCGCAGGCCTGGCCCCTTCTGGCCAGTCCACACCCTCTTACCTTAGTAATTGACAATGAAGGGAGAGCTTCAGCCTCAGATCGGACTTGCTCAAGTTTGTTTTCTGGCACAAAGAGTTCATGGATGCCCTTCATTACAGTATGGGGTACAATGTTCTGAAATAAAGCAGAATTGGTAACAATTTGAAATGAAAACTGTAAAAAAAAAATCTTCAGCAAATGGAGGGTCTTTCGTGACTTTATTAAATTTAAAAAGAAAAAAAAAGGGCAACCAGCCCACCTGCTCTTGCAGAAGTTCCACCACCTGTTGGACACAGTCGCTCACGGAGGACAAGTTGGTTTTAAGCACAAGCTCTGGAGTTTCTGGTTTCTCATAATCAGAGTCAATGCCTGTAAACCCTGCAAGGCAGAAGGCTGAACATCATACCCACACCCATGGAACAATCTTTTTAATCAAGAATGCATATGTTAGAATAATGAGTTAAACTGCAAACTCTGATTACAACAGAAAAGGTCAAACAGAAAAGGTTATCCTTGACCTCTAGCCATGGATTTATAAAAAAAAAAGCTGTATTTTCAATATAGAATGACCCAAATTTTCAAAATTTGGTTAGCTAAGTCCAAGCCCTCTGCAGCCGATTGGAATCCCAAAGGAAGACAAGAAGAAGGAAAAACCCATAAACCCTCCCACTCACAGGTACACTCACTTATACAGACCCGTTTTAGTTCTCTGAACTTCATTGCTTACAGCCGAGGTGATAGCTCTTGAAACTACAAACCCATATTTTAATAAGCCCAAGGACATATGGAATATATTATGGTCTGATAAAAAGTTGTGTGTATGCTATATGCAATTTTAGAAAACAGGTTTTGCAACTGTAGCCAGACTTCTGGGGACAGGCTGAGAGGTGTGTGCTAAGTGGTGACGGTGCTGCTGAGCCAGTTCTGCTACCTTTGATCTCCCCAGCCCTGGCCCGTTTGTAGAGGCCCTTCACGTCTCTACTTTCACAGATGTTCAGAGGTGCATCGACAAATATTTCAAAGAACGGCAGTCCTGCCAATTCATGGATTTTGCGGGCATTTTCACGATCCTGGAAAAAAATACACTTAATAAAGTCTTAGCAATGAAAAGAAGTATGTATATTAGAGACAAATACTGTATGATTCCACTTATATGAGGTACCTCATAGAGACAGAAAGTAGAATAGTGGTTACCAGTGGCTGGAGTGGGTTGGGGGAAGAAAATAAGGAGTTACTATTTAATCAGTACAAAGTTTCAGTTTTGCAAAATGAAAAGAGCTCTGGAGGTAGATGGTGGTGGTGACTGCACATGATGTGAATGTACTTAATTAAGACCATTGATCTGTACACTTACAAATGGTAAAGATAGTACAGTTTATATGTATTTTACCACAATAAACAATTTGAAAACAAAAGAAGGTATAAATTTAAAAAAAAGAAAAAAGACATTTAAACATGTAAGAAGAGGTTTCACAATGAAATGTATCACAAAATGTTGTATGCTCTGGTATTTGATAGCCTTCAGGTAACACTGGGGTCTGCATGCTACAGAGCTGAAAGGACGCTAGTCCTTTAGAGAGAGTCCAGAGGAAACAGCTCTTTCAAAGACTTTCAGGGAAAGCCAAGGAAAAAAATGCTGAAGGGCAGTGCTGGCAATAGGGGAGCATTTCATTCGAAGGCTGTGTTCGAAGCACACAGTGTCTTATCTGCAGTTCACAGAAATTCCTGTTTTCAAACAAGAAGAATGCCGCTCTACCTGTGATTTAAACATTGCACATGCATAATCCGATGCTTCAGCAATGAACTGCTGTTTTCTTTACCGAGCTACACATTCTGACTTTTTGGAGAAGTGAAATCACAGAGATTTAGAGTGTTTTCTTGTTTAACTTTTTGTTCCTTTCAAGCCTGGCCAAGTGAACTTTGCGAATGGGAACAGGGACGGGTTTATGTCTGCTGGTGCCCTGGCATCTGGAAAGGAAGGAACCCGCTTTATATAACCAATATGAAGCAGAGGAAACGAGAGAGCAAGTGAGCGGAAGAATAAAGAGCAGAGGAAATTGAAAATAGGACAACCCTCTGCGCCCTCCCCTGCGCCGCCGGGGAGCATGAGCGCTACGTGCAGGAGCTGCGTGCGCCCCGAATCGTTACCTTCGTGAAAGGAGAAATGAAGCTGGTGATGCAGACCAGACCGGCGTCCGCAAACAGCCTGGCCACCTCAGCAACCCGGCGGATATTTTCTTCTCTGTCCCCGGGAGAGAACCCAAGGTTTTTGTTCAGGCCGTGACGGATGTTGTCCCCATCGAGGGAGTAGCAGGGGATGGCGTGGGCGACGAGGTACTCCTCCAGGGCGAAGCTTATCGTCGTTTTTCCGGCACCAGACAGACCTGTTCAGAACAGGAAAGGTAAGACTGGCATTGTCCTCAATTGTTTCAGTTGATAAACTGTGACGTGATACAGTGATTTAAGTGTAGTTAAACCCTCATTACAATCATTTGACTTCAAAACAAAATCATTAAAATCTAGAGGAAGCATAGTTTATCACAAGTTGATCACTTGCACGTCTTTCAAGTCTTGAAATAACTCTTTGTCCAATACTAGGATTATAGCATTTCAGAGCAATGGGGTTCATAATCAGGGAAACTCGGGCAGCTATATATGGTCTTTGCTGTGCTCTATTGTGTCTGCAGAGTGTTTTAAAGACTAGAATGTGTGTACAAACCCAGATTCTGGTTTCTCTTGACAGAAAGTCAGAAGATCTGGTAAGTGTTTTCGTATGAAAGTCAGAAGATCTGGTGAGTGTTTTCGTATGTCCTCCTGACAGCAGTCAGCCTGGGTGCAGGGAACAGCCGCCCCTGGAGACAGGGAGGCCTATCTCCCTGTGGATGCCACTAAAACAGCCACCTGACAAGAGAGTCCTTTTTTGGCTTCAAGATTTTTCCAAAATAACTCTCAAAACATGAAGACAGAGAGTCATCCTGAGCTAGGTTACAGATACACTTCGAGCTTTCATACACTTTTAGGTGTCTGGAGTCTTTCTTTACATGAGAACAGTTACCATGTGCCTTCTGGGAACACACATTTTCATTTCTATACGAGGGAGAGCATGAAGAGAAAGTGAAAGATAGGCAAACTGCCAAGATTACTTAAGAGCTCAAAATCTGAACTGCAGTGGAAAAGCAGCCCTCTAAAAATTCAGTTGTCCTAAAGATCTCTGAACCTGAAGAATATGCCATTGTGCCAAGCCACTGCCAAGCAGCGCCCAAGCGTACAGACGAAAAGTTAAGGGGCAAGAAAAGAAAGTCAAGAAGTTAATACAGAGAAAAGAGCAGGAGAAAAGAGGAAAAAGATGGAAAAATTCAGAGATAGCAGGAACGAAGAAGGACAGAGAGGATCTATAAAAGGTAAACAAATAGTTTCCATATTTTAATGTCATGTCCTTGGCCTTCACAGAGGATCTTTAGGTGTAACGGCTACATGAAGAATGTGTTGTCAGTCTTTGCAAATCACTGTTGAAGATATTGTATATTATATTATTATGTAATCAATTTCATTTGAATGAAGACTTAGGTAATAAATTCCTTTTAGAATTTGTTTCTACGCATGAGGTAGAAGAAATGGGACTCCTGAATCTCTGGTATGTTCTCCCTCATCAGAAAATGAGAGAAATAATAGAAGTTTCCTTCAGTTTTGCTTCAGATATACTTAGAGCTCTCAGGAACCTCAGAGTTGAATCACAGCAAGTGTATTAAACTAGATTGTTGTCATTTTATTTTAATACCTTAGGTTAAAACCAGTTAGCTTTGCTGAGAGCTTAGTATGGGCCATTCAGTGTATACGTGCTTTATTTCACTTAGTTCTGCCGAAACCCCATAAGGCAGGTACCAAATTTATTCTTATTTTACAAATAAGGAAACTGTGGCATAGAGAGGTTAGTTGGCTTATCCAAAGTCACACAGTGAATATAGGTGGAGCTGGGTCTCAAATTCAAGACTCCAGATTCAAAGAATTTAAGTTTTTCTGGTCTGCTCAGTCAATAGCCTATCTCTGTAACATAAGAATATAAAATAAGTTGGGAAAAAGATACTTTTTTTTTTGAGAGTAAGAAAAGGCAGGGTTTTTTCCCTCTTCTACCAGCTCTCTTTTTCTTTTTAAGAGTGTTCCACATTAGAAAAAAATGGATTCTCTGTGTATATCCCAATACAAAAGTTGGACAAACACACAAAGGCAAACATCTCATGAAGAGAGTGACATCTGGAATACAGGTGTTTCATCTACTGCTACACATCAGGTCTCTTAGAGGAACGTGGGGGAAACACTGCCGGAATCATGCCCGTGAATACTGCCTGTTGGAATATAGCAAGTGCCTTGCCCACTGTCTGTCTCCACCGTGGAAGCTGGAAAAAGTTGTTAAAGCCAGGAAATCAAAGGCAAGTGCCACAGGTACTAGGAAAAAACTCAAAAAAGAATGATACTAATTTAGACAGGAGTGGGAAAGCCTCAGGATAGCAAGAAAGGTATGAGGCAGGTCCCTGCCTGCCTTAGTCCTTGGAATTATCATCAGATTTGAATAAATTGGCATTTGTGAGCAGATAGTAACCCACAAGTTCGTCTCATAACCTGGAAAAACATAACTCTGCATCTGGCTCATCTCCACTTGAAATACTGTGTCTATGAAATGAACTTTGTTTTTCCTTTTGAGTCCAGGCTATGTCAGACTTACATTCCCAGGAATCAACTTCCTCTAGCCTGTACTCAGATCATAAGATAACAGCCCAGGACTCATTTCAGTTCTGTCACTAACCCTGAGTGCTTACATTCTGAAGCTATAAAAACACAAGAAAAGGGAGATTCATTTGGCCACCTCAATAGGAGTGAGATACTTGTGTATACAAGGGGCAATCCTCAGCTAAGTGGAAATCACAAGGTTTCCTTCTTGCCCAGATGCTTCTGCTTTTTGTACACTAAGTATAATAATCCCCTAGAATGTTAAAACATCAGAAAACAGTAAAAAATATGTCTAAACATCCGTAACTTTATAGACAGCTAGATGCCTGATATCAAATTGGGAAAGGCCCATTCATAACTGTCAGTAATATGTTTAGGAACAAACATAAAAATTATGGAATTCCTTAGAGCCAAATGCAAATTACATCATTGACTTGTCCCATCCTTTCTGCCAAAGAGGAGAAAACTGAGAACTAGAGACATTCCATGACTTGATTAAAGTCCTATTTGTCACTGATGGTCAAGTTAGGACTAACACCCTGGCTTTCTATGACAGCTCTCAGCCTCCTTCTAATGTTAAAATAAATATGTAACCTGTGCAATATGTTATATTAATTTCCTTAAAATTGTGTATCACACACCAGTTTTAGATTTTAAAATATATATGTATCTCAGCTTGGCATACCTGTCAGCCACACGGTACATCCTCGGAACCCGCCCCTTGTTCCAACCACCTGCCCTCTCTTGTTCCTGCTCACGTGGTGGGCCTGATAAATGACATTGGTGGATTTCTGCTGGTTCTCCTACAAAAGAAGATCAAGACCAATAGTGATTAATAAGATGATAAATGTAATGTGTACACACATAATAAAGTAACCGTTTTCCCTAACTGAAACTCCTCTTTTATAAGTGGCATATAGAGTAACCTTTATTAATTCTACCAATTTAGAAACCCATCATGCCTTTAGAATACTCATCATAATGCTTTGAAAGTACAATGTGAATGAGACAATTACTGACATGATGTAAAAGCTCTGGTTACATGACATTTAAAAACGTACACCTTTAGGTAATGCTTAGGGGGATGTCTTTGTTTTTCTAAATGCATGTTCTCAAATCCTATTCATGGAATGGAAAACAAGCCAAATCATCCTGTGCTGAGAAAATGCTAGGGTGAGGCTGGTTGAGCCCCACTCTCTAGAGCTAGGCAGAGGCCCAGATCACAGAGTAAATGGTTAAAGTCGGTAACGCCCATCTCCATCCACCCAGGCAGCAGACACTGAAGACTCAAGTTAGTCCCTGAGTGGAGGTATGATAGGCGGGGCTTCTTCTTCATAAGAACGAAGCTCTACTTCCATTTTGCAAGGGTCAGTGTATGAACTTTTTGATCTCTCAAAAAGCTCTGCAGAAATGGAAATGTACCAGTTATTCATCTTTTGGCTGTAATAAAATCATCCCAGTGAGGGCCCAAATTATCTGACCCTGATTCTAAACTAACTAGAAAGTATATGTCAGATGGAAAAAAAAAAAAAGGTAAAATAAACCAATAAATACAGTTTTTGGTGGACATTTTTAAAAAACATATGATCCCTGAGGGGTGGGGCTTACCCCACTCAATGGTGTTTGAATAAAAAGGTTGGAAACTATCCATATATGTTTATGGTACAGTCACTGAATTTCTAACTACAGATGTAATCCAAGTTTCTGAACTGTAAAAATCTTTGGAGCCTTTTAAACACCACTCACATATACCCATCAGAGCTAAGAAAGCACCAATATTCTTTGAGCAAGACCTAAAGAGTCTTAGAAATCTCTAGGCCACATGAGGGTGACTTCTATATTCTGGAGCCAATCAAATTACTTCGTTATGCCACCTCCTTTGGGAAAAAAAGGGGGCTGCAACTAAGACTGAAGACCTAGAAGAGAAAATAGACATGAACATGCTTTGTAAATTGCAAAGTTCACTACAGATGTGGATGCTGACCATGACCATTCAGTGCATACCCCCAAAAGGAAACACTGGAGCCAACTGGATGAGGACCTAGTAAATGGCTCCAAGACCAAGGGGGGAGAAGCCCCTGGCTGAGGGCTCAGAGAGGCGGTGAGCACCCTGGGGGTGGGCCTGCTAGTGCAGAGCAGAGCCAGGCAGGAGACAGGCATTACCAATGTCTGTGGGAACCAAGAGGTTAAAGGCCCAGTGGGATCAGCTGGGTGGTTACCCATAACGGTCCACAGCTACATGTTCTCATCATCCATTAAGCAAATCTGGTTAGAACCCGAGACTTGGAAACGGACGGGATTTAGTCCCAGAATGTGGCAGGTTAGACAGGAGTTATGGCTTGCATTAGAAAGCTCATAAAAGGGGATAATTCCTTCTAATGTTAAAATAAATATGTAACCTGTGCAATATGTTATATTAATTTCCTTAAAATTGTGTATCACACACCAGTTTTAGATTTTAAAATATATATGTATCTCAGCTTGGCATACCTGTCAGCCACACGGTACATCCTCGGAACCCGCCCCTTGTTCCAACCACCTGCCCTCTCTTGTTCCTGCTCACGTGGTGGGCCTGATAAATGACATTGGTGGATTTCTGCTGGTTCTCCTACAAAAGAAGATCAAGACCAATAGTGATTAATAAGATGATAAATGTAATGTGTACACACATAATAAAGTAACCGTTTTCCCTAACTGAAACTCCTCTTTTATAAGTGGCATATAGAGTAACCTTTATTAATTCTACCAATTTAGAAACCCATCATGCCTTTAGAATACTCATCATAATGCTTTGAAAGTACAATGTGAATGAGACAATTACTGACATGATGTAAAAGCTCTGGTTACATGACATTTAAAAACGTACACCTTTAGGTAATGCTTAGGGGGATGTCTTTGTTTTTCTAAATGCATGTTCTCAAATCCTATTCATGGAATGGAAAACAAGCCAAATCATCCTGTGCTGAGAAAATGCTAGGGTGAGGCTGGTTGAGCCCCACTCTCTAGAGCTAGGCAGAGGCCCAGATCACAGAGTAAATGGTTAAAGTCGGTAACGCCCATCTCCATCCACCCAGGCAGCAGACACTGAAGACTCAAGTTAGTCCCTGAGTGGAGGTATGATAGGCGGGGCTTCTTCTTCATAAGAACGAAGCTCTACTTCCATTTTGCAAGGGTCAGTGTATGAACTTTTTGATCTCTCAAAAAGCTCTGCAGAAATGGAAATGTACCAGTTATTCATCTTTTGGCTGTAATAAAATCATCCCAGTGAGGGCCCAAATTATCTGACCCTGATTCTAAACTAACTAGAAAGTATATGTCAGATGGAAAAAAAAAAAAAGGTAAAATAAACCAATAAATACAGTTTTTGGTGGACATTTTTAAAAAACATATGATCCCTGAGGGGTGGGGCTTACCCCACTCAATGGTGTTTGAATAAAAAGGTTGGAAACTATCCATATATGTTTATGGTACAGTCACTGAATTTCTAACTACAGATGTAATCCAAGTTTCTGAACTGTAAAAATCTTTGGAGCCTTTTAAACACCACTCACATATACCCATCAGAGCTAAGAAAGCACCAATATTCTTTGAGCAAGACCTAAAGAGTCTTAGAAATCTCTAGGCCACATGAGGGTGACTTCTATATTCTGGAGCCAATCAAATTACTTCGTTATGCCACCTCCTTTGGGAAAAAAAGGGGGCTGCAACTAAGACTGAAGACCTAGAAGAGAAAATAGACATGAACATGCTTTGTAAATTGCAAAGTTCACTACAGATGTGGATGCTGACCATGACCATTCAGTGCATACCCCCAAAAGGAAACACTGGAGCCAACTGGATGAGGACCTAGTAAATGGCTCCAAGACCAAGGGGGGAGAAGCCCCTGGCTGAGGGCTCAGAGAGGCGGTGAGCACCCTGGGGGTGGGCCTGCTAGTGCAGAGCAGAGCCAGGCAGGAGACAGGCATTACCAATGTCTGTGGGAACCAAGAGGTTAAAGGCCCAGTGGGATCAGCTGGGTGGTTACCCATAACGGTCCACAGCTACATGTTCTCATCATCCATTAAGCAAATCTGGTTAGAACCCGAGACTTGGAAACGGACGGGATTTAGTCCCAGAATGTGGCAGGTTAGACAGGAGTTATGGCTTGCATTAGAAAGCTCATAAAAGGGGATAAATTAGGCTAGCCCATGAGATATGCCACCAGTATTTCCCCTGGGTGAACAAATCCCCTCAAGGTACTCTGAGTCCTTTGGGTCAAGTGTACTTTATAGCTCAAGGATAACACTGAATTTGTTCTTCTCTGTTTCCTTGTTCATCACGTCATTATGTTCAAGAACACTGTGTCTGGACATCGGGCCCAAATGTCAGTTCATCTGCTCAGGGGCCATCCTAGGCACTGGGTGTACAGTACTAAATAAAGCAGGATCCCTGGTATCATTCTGGAAGGAAATATAGATAGAAAGACAAAGAACTTGGGCCTCAACCCCCAGGAATGGGGAGAGTCTCATACACATATTTGCATATATGAAGATATATAAAGAATACCAGTAACTCAATAATAGGACAGCACAATATTTTTAAATGGGTACAGGATTTGAACAGTCACTTAACAAAGGTAGATGCACAAATGGCCAGCGAGCACGTGAAGAAGCTGTGTCATTAATCATGAGGAAGTGCAAAAACCCCAATGAGACACTTCTGCTAACTTCTAATGGCAGCAAAGATGTGCTCTCATATGTTGATAGTGGAGGTATAAAGTGGTATAACCAGGAAAAACCTGGCAATTTCTTATAAAACTGAACATTTATCTTCCTTATAACTCAGCAATTACATGCACAGACATGTACCCAAGAGAAAACATGTATCACAGAAAGACATGTACAAGAATATTCTTAGCAAATATTTTTATTTGAACAAAAACTGGAAATAGCTAAGTGTCCATCAACAGGAAAATGGATCACACACACACACACACACACACACACACACACACACACAGCCATCCCAAAAAAACCTCTAAACCCCAAACTATAGAAAACTTACATAATGGAATACTACTCAGCAATAAAAAGGATGGGCTACTGATAATACATGCAACGTGGATGATAATGGATGAAAACATTACATTGAGTCAAATAAATCTTACACAAAAAACTACATTTGAGTCCAGTTATATGAAGTCCCCAAATAAGGAAAGCTAACTTACTAACAATAGCAGTTGGCTCTGAGATGATGGCAATGTTGTGCATCTTGATAAGGGTTTGGGGGACACAGGTATTTGCATTCCTTGGCACTCATTGAATATACACTTAAGATAGGTATTTCATTATAGGTTAATTTTACCACACACACAAAAAGAACCATAAAAAAAAGGTAGGAGAACAAAAATGCATAATAAAATTCAGATAATGGAATTACATTGTTCAGTACTACTGCATTTATGGAAAAGAGCACTGAGCGCAATTACTGCATATTTGCCCTAATGGGTTGCTGCCCACCTGTGCACATGAATATCCACCAGAGCTTAATTTGATTTCGCCACAAAGATTTATTTTTTCTTCTCTCTTTTGGCTGTTTCTTATCCCTGCAGCCAGAAATCCAAAATAAATTCCAGGCACTGTTAGTCTTCTGTGAAAACTGTGTTATGACCTTGTTAAGTGCTTCCAGAACAAGTGCTTGGTTTTGAAAAAACAGTTCAGAACCCACTGGAAGGAAATAAGGAGCTACTCTAATATGGTGTTTAATAGTTGGTCTCTGAACTTTTGTTTTTTGTTAGCTGCATCTTAATTAGGGGTGTTACTACAGATTTTCTGTCACTCCAGCAATGTTTAAACAAGCAACATCTTTTCAGATGGCTAGGTACTGGGCTTTTTGGTTCAGGAAGATCTTTTGCTTCTTATTTATCTCAAATTTACCACTGATATTCTCCACAAACAAAATAATAGCAGCGGATGTTTTGAATGATACTTGAACTGCAAAAGGGCAGAGTAGCCAAAAACTTTTCCTTGTTGAAAGCTTTACTCTCTTCTAAAGAGCATATGGTTGTCCTAAACTTTGGAAAGAATAAACTGTCAGAAAAAAAGATCCTCTCTATGGAAAACAAAACACATGTTAAATAAAAATGCTTGCCTCCCTCTGCATATAAACACAACACAGAGACATCCGTGGTGCCTTGGCTAACACTGCACTAAGCAGGAAGGGGCTCAGAAACCACAGGGCTGGGGGCATGCCTCCATTCTGGGTTCTTGAGAAAAATTTTGCAAAAATCCCTACCTTCATCCAGGTCACTGATCGGGGAGTCTCCCTCCAGCATGCGCAGGAGGAGGAGGAGAAGGAGGAGGAGTTTTGGAGTCAAGCAAACCTGATTTGAAACCTGCTTCTCTGCCTACTTGCACCCCTCGGAAGTCATTAACGTTGCTGAATCTTCATTTCCTGCTCTGTAAGGTGAGGCCATGAATAGTGTCCTCACAGGGTTGCTAAAAAGATTAAATTGAATGATTTTCTATATAAAGTAATAAAAGAAAATGTGCACACATGATAAAATATTGAATCTGATCAAACCTAGCATTTAATCTAGTCTGGAGAAATCATGGAACTTGTCTAAATCACCTAGATTTACAAGTGTCCTAGGGGTCTGGGTCCACTCTAAGGCTCATGAACAAGTGGTATAATGGATAGGACAGCACTGGGGTGAAGACGCACACGCACACGCGCGCGCACACACACACACACACACACACACACTGGGGTAAAGATGCACGCGCGCGCGCGCGCGCACACACATACGCGCGCGCGCGCAATGTTGTTGCTGTTTCCATGATTGTCTTTGACCCAAAGCCCAGAGCACACCAGTTTGAAACCTCCTCAATCTACCCAGAACTTACTGCTTTCATGCTGGCTGACTCAGTCATGAAGCCTTCGTTACCAGCTGGAGCATGGACTTTGCCCTAGATCAGCCTCACGGGCAGCTGGAGTCAGTACCTTATCACCCGAGGTTACAGTGCGTATCTCCGCCATATCCACCCCTCATTTCATTGGTGATGCAGAAAGGGGAGGGTCAAGGGAGCTTCAGGAATTCAGGGAGGGTAGATAGGCGGTGATGGCAGATAGCCTTAGCCTTGATTTCTGTGTAACTAGAAGGAAAAGACTTGACGCGCGGAAAGGACTTCGGGCGGCTTCATGGTGGGGTGGGGCATCCCCAGGGCTAAATCCGAGCCATGTGTCACAGGGAGTTGTGTTATAAAAGGGAGGATGCTGGAGGAAGGAGGAAGCTGGAAACCACAGGCCAGGTTATAAGCTTCCCAATGCTCCAAGGGTTTTCTTTTTATGTTTGCAAAATGCCTTCAATAAAAAAAAAAAAATGAGCAGGTGTATTTAAATTCCCCCTGCACTCTGCTGCCTCCCACAGAGCAGAAACAAAAAACAAATCCACTTTATTTTTCTAATTACGACTCCACTCTGTCCCTTTGAACCTGGCCTTCACTGTTCTTGGGCTGTTGGTTTTATTGGTCTGTTGCTGATTGAAAGTGTTCAAAACTTCCCTGCTTCTTGGTGTGCAGTTTGAAGATCCACTGAAAGATTCGTTTTCCCAAAGCAGCAACCTCAGTAACTGCCCTCTCATTTCTACATGTATGATTTTATTTACAATCAAAACCTGGTAACTAAGGAAGCTGAGCATTGCGTCCCGTTTTCAGAATTGACAAGAACTGACTGAAGTCACACACCTGGAAGATACAGGACCAAGAGCCAGGCCTCCTAACCCTACATCCAAGTCTTACTCCTGCCTCCACAGAGCTCCTAGTTTCCAGTCCCAACTGCGTGACCTCTTTGTCACATTTCCTTATTGAAGACTAAATGAGATAATGTATATTAAGGCTTTTGATACTACATAAAAATACAAACAAAAAAATCATTCTCACTTAGTTTTCATAATTTGAGTAGCTTCAAATGTTTTATAATTATAAATAATTATATTTATTTTCTTTCAGATTCTCTCCTCAGGGTGGTGTACAACACAAAGTCGAATGACTCAGTATTAAAAGTTATGAACTATGTCAAAAGTCTCATTATGTATTGCCAGTTCATTTTACAGAAAGACAAAGCAAAGTTACCAGGCTACCATATACCTGTTTCTAAATATTCCAACTACTTTGCCATATTTGCAATTTTACTGTTTTTTTCCCCTTTGATTACTTTGTACTTATTTAGTTACTGGTAAGAATATGCATTTTCCCATGTAATAAGTTACTTATGATATTTGTGAGTTTGTCTCTTTTGACACTTATTAACTACAATCAGGACAATGGCCTCATCCACTTTTTAAAAACATTTTGGGTTTTTTTCTGTATTTTATATAGTAAAATTTTTACTAATTATATACTTTTTGCTCACTTGCTTTCCTTTTGCTATGTATTTTATTATATATCACATATATATATATATATATACATTATATCATATTAAAGGGTATTTTAAGAATATATGAAAATATTCCTGTTGTCTTTGATGGTTTCCATTTGATCATTACTTATAGCTGGGCCAAATACTCTTCAGACTTCTATTTTGATATGATTAAACTGTATAGTTTGTGCTTATATATATATGTTTTCTTTCTTTTCCATCATTATATCCAGTGATCTCAAAATGTGTTGTATTATAATTAATTTTCCTATTACTTAGAAAATCTTTAACAGTTTGAATCTATTTCTAGAATTCCTCTGTGTTCTTAATGGTTATGCATTTATAATTTATGTACTCTTTTTCTACAGAAGTTTTCTACTTTTAATGTAGTTACCTATGGTTCTGATAGTTGCTATTTTGGAATATGTTATGTTTTAAAACATTAAAGATTAAAGAGCTTTTAATGTTTTTTTTTTCAACTTTAGTTTCTTCTAAAACACATTCTTCCATGGAAGTAAAATGATTTAAGTTTTGTTAAGAACATGCAATGCCTCACTGTGATTTTCCCTGCTAGTCTCAGTAATTCTCAAAGAACCTCAACATTTTAATACAGACAAAGGAATCATTACCCAAAGATGTTAATAGTGGTATTATTTAAAATAGTGAGATCGGAAACAATCAAAATGAACATCAAATAGATAGATTATGGCACATCTATATATGATGAGAATATGCACATGTGTATTTATTGACCTGAAAAATATCGTATGTCCTAATGAGAAAACAGGTTACAGAGTAAATTAACATTAATCCCATTTCAAAAATAAATGTGTTTATATGTATAAGGCTATGAAGAAAAAATCTGGAAAACAGAGGACAAAATGCTAATAGTAATCATCTTGAGGACTAGGTAATTCTAGGTAATCATGTTCCTTCTTGTCTCTGTGTTCTGATTTTTCTATATTAAATTTGGAAATAAATACATTTTTAAAATGCAAATAGATATCTCAACCAAAAGATGGGGAAGCCAACTGGTGTGATGCTCAAAGCGGCCACAGATGTGTGGACACAAGTGAGTCTTGAGATAAATGCAACCAAGAGAACAACAATTAGACCAAACCAACAAATTACAAAACCATTCACCCTGATTATCTTGAGAACAAATCTCGGAGACAATTAGTCCCCCTAAGATACCTCATGAAGAACAGGAAACTGTAACGGACAACCTCATACGCACAGTCCATTTCACTTGATCCCACTGGCAGTTGTTTTGGCATTTACGTGTTTCATTCAGAGAGAGAAATGCCCTTGGAGTAGATGTTGCAGCTTTTGGAAGCTGGTATTGCAAAAGGGAACCTCTGTTTGCTCTTCTATACATTCTACTTTGTAACTCAGAATCTACGTCAGCTTTGATCACCTTGTGGGAACCTCCCAGAGAAAGGCACTCTGATAATAAGGTCTGTAAACAGCTAAGCAGCAGGAAGGCCATCTTACTCAACTTTGATATAATCACTGCCCACTGGACATTTGAGGTTCAGTGCCAATCATGCAGTTATCATAGATAGGAAAGTTTTAACTGAAGAAGTATTGCTAAATTTGAAACTGATAATATGTTTTAAAAAGGAATTTCCATGGAGGAAAATATGGTTCTAAGATAGTCTGTGTAAAGAGAGATTAATGGATAAAGAGAGTTGACATATCAAAATGCTAAATCCAATTCTATGCATATAATATTTACAATGAGATGTATTTGCTTCTTATCATGCTAACAATACCTCCCTAAAAATCACCAAATCCATAGGGTTATACTTGGTGTGAAACTACACTTGAGTTACAAGAGAAATAAACAAGTCAGGTAACCAGTGACAAAATACCAGTTGTAAAAATTGAGATGAGCTAACAAATTCCTGAAAAGGGAAAATTAAATCATTTGTCAAAAGCAGTTATCTGACAATTCAGAGAAGGTCAAATCTAGAATTAATAAATTAAAACTGTGATCCTGTGAAAGAAGTTTTAGGATGGATATAAAATTTCTTTAAGACTTAAAAATGATCATTTTCACCAATTCCTACCACAGAAAGCTTTACTGAATAGGCCATTGCTGTGAATGAGAAAACAAGTTAGGTGGAAAATACACCCACAACTGAGTTGATGTGACTTTTAGAAGTCACCACTAGTAAATAAACCACAGACTTCATGACGCCAAATGGACAAGCATTTAAATGCTGTTAAGAAAAAAAAAGAGATACACAACTAAAAAATACAAAGGTAGGGCATTGTTAAGTCAGTTTCAAAAAAATCCTACATGACTTTGCTTAATTTTTCAAGCATCTGAGAAACATGCAAAATGTTAGGAGCCCAGCGTGGCATTCAGCTGTTTGCCCGGGAAAATAAAGAAGTATCCTCCTAATGGCTTGTCCTTTGGATTCGGGGCATCATACGCTAGATGGCAACACAGAGTCTGTGCGGCAGTTATGAACTTGGCGTTGTCGGGAGGGGAAAGCACTGAGGAGTGTCCAGGGACTGCGCATCGACCCAGCTTTGACATTTCCAGGATTTGCAGGAACAGGCTTATGACACTAGAGAACTTTGACTGCATCTTCTACTTTGAACCACTCTCTCTCCCTTTCCATATTCACAGACTCTTCCTACTCTTCTAAGACATCAGTGTCTGTGAGAACCTAAGTGCGGTGCTTTCCGTCTGGCCTCTGCTCAGGTGCCCTGGGGTACGCCCAGCTTCCTGGGACTGCAGCCTGTCGGTGAACTGGCTTGCAGGACCACCAGACGCTTCCCCAGCTTCAGTCTCCCGCCGGTACAATCCACCGAGCGGCTGCTCCCAAGGCTCCGAAACAGGAGCGCAGCGCGGCTCGCGCACCGTGGCTTCTGCGTCCTTGGAGTCGGGGCTCCGCGTCTGGCCATTGCGGAGAGACGGGCCAGTCCCGGGAGCAGGAGGCGGCGCGGGGAGGGAACGCAGGAGACTGGGTGCAGGCGCCGCCTCCTCGTCACCTCTTGCCGCCCTGGGTCCAGAGCTGGGGCCCGCGCCCCGCGGGGACAACTGCTGGCATTGCCAACAGGGCATGGCGTGCGGTGGGCGGCCCGGGTAGGAGCCGGCGCAGGCCCTCTGTTCATACCCGACACAACCAGTGTTAAGTCACTTCCCATTCACCCTGAGAAAACACCTCGCGAGCTCCGGTAGAGGGGCATTCTAGGAAACGCCAGATCAACACTCCTCAAAGTGGTAAGGGCATCAAAAACAAGGACAGAGAAATTGCCACTGCCCAGAGAAGCTCATTTGAGATATGACAAGTAAATGTAATGTGGGATGGGATCTTGGAATGGGAAATTACATTGGGTAAAAATTAAGCAAACCTGTAAAAAGTGTGGACTTCAGTCAATGATATTGTATCTCTGCTGCATTAAGTGTAACAAATGTACCACACTAATGTATAAAAGTTCTTAATAGGATAATCTAGGGGAGGGGAGTATGGGGACTCAGTACCCAGTTTTTCTGTGACTCTTAATACTGTTCTAAAAGATAGTCTATTTTTTTTAAAGGGTGCATTTGCTAAGATTTAGCAATCATAAAAACCACAACATTTCAAAATCACTTCACTTCATGCACTGCTAGATTCTTTATACTTACTGATCATATTTCTTGCTGACTCCATTCTTTTACTTCTAATTTAAGGATTAAAATTACTTGGACTTGAGAAACCCTTTCATAAGCACACCATGGAGTAAAGCCAAAGGGACAGAAAAATAAACAGACAAGACACTGATAACATGAAGTACATAGATAACAAGTGTGGATATATCCCCTTTGTTTATGGACATTTAAAAATATTAAAAGTGAAACTGTGGCTTGTGAGAAAACTGATGAGACCGAGCAATGCCCTCTTCTGTCCTTCTGTCCTTCCAAAATGGACATGAATTCTCTTTCAGCCCTCTTATGTCCCCAAACCGCCTCATGACATATGTAGTCCTTAATTTTCCATATAGAGGGATCTGCATAAATAAAGAGGAAAGAGGAGAAAAAAGGAGATCTGGTCATTAAGGGTGGGGGTAAAAGACCTCAAAGGGGCTATGTTCTTTGCTTCGGACACAGGAAAGTGGAAGAGAAGCTACAAGATGAGTTTTAGTGCAGGGTAAAAGAGTACATGTTTTAGGATCAAATAATCCTGAAATTGTATACTGTTCTAGACTGGACCAAGGATGGAGAAATGCATGGCTGGAAACTGGGGGTGTACGTGTGTGGAGTTATTTCTCAGGACCTTCAGAAAAGGGCTTACACACCCATAAATGCTCAGAAATTTTGACACCTGGACTAAAATCTTCCTTTGGTGATTTAGACAGGGATAGCTTACACTCACACTGATGAGCAGGTGGGAAGACAGTGAGTGAGGGCAGAGTAAGTTTAGATTTCATGGTAGTACTAGGGGTAGCGATATTTCTGACACATTAAACTGGTATTTTTGAAAAAATTTCCTTGTGGAGAAAGGTTTTTAATGATGATGTGTTTCCAAGGCCCAAATAACTACTATCCAAATTAACCTTTGGAACATGACTTGCTTTTAAAATGCTTTTAAAATGACTGCTCTCATTTCTAATTATGTACCAGCAATCTACAAGTCCTATTTTGCTTTATAATATCTCTTATCTTTTTTCCAGTTTCGACTGTCAACATCCTAACTTAGACCCTGTGGTACTGGTTCCTGATGTCCACTCTTAAGTATGCAGTCCTATCTCCACGTTCGGTGGTGAGCAGAACCAATTGCCTCGTCTGCGTTGCACTTGCCAACAGAAGTTTTTCTGGGTCCTCCCAGCCCAGTTTTCTAATATAGCCGCTTTTTACCTTCCAGACCTTCCCAATGCTATAAACTGCCTCTCCAGCTCTGACCTTTGCTTGTCTTCTTGACCATCAGTCGGGGTTTCCTCTGACGGCACTGCTCCCTGCTTCTGAGAGTCAGTATGCCCCTTGGTCTGGTCCAGCTTTTTGGGCTTTATTTCTGGCCATAGTCCCAAGAACCATGCTTCTTCTGGGTCTCCTTGAGGTTATAAAGGCACCCAGCACACATTATCTCCCTTTTGCGCAGAACCCCTTTAATGATCTCCAGTTTTTGTCACTTCCTCTTCCAATTGACAATCAGATTAATTTTCTAAAACACTCTTTAATCATTACATTCAAAACTTTCAACTGGCTCCCTTTTTTTAATTTAAATTTTTATTAAGGTATTATTGATATACACTCTTATGAAAGTTTCACATGAAAAAACAATGTGGTTACTACATTTACCCATATTATCAAGTCCCCACCAAGACCCCAATGCAATCACTGCTCATCAGTGTAGTAAGATGCCACAGATTCACTGTTTGCCTTCTCTGCGCTACACTGTTCTCCCCGTGATCCCTCACACCATGTGTACTAAACATAATACCCCTCAATCCCCTTCTCCCTCCCTCCCCACCCGCCCTCCCACGCCCCTCCCCTTTGGTAACCACTAGTTCCTTCTTGGAGTCTCTGAGTTTGCTGCTATTTTGTTCCTTCAGTTTTCCTTTGTTGTTTTACTCCACAAATGAGGGAAATCATTTGGCACTTCTCTTTCTCCACCTGGCTTATTTCACTGAGCATAATGTCCTCTAGCTCCATCCATGTTGTTGCAAATAGTAGGAATTTCAACTGGCTCCCTTTTACCACAGAATACCATCCTCATTCCTAGCTTGGAATTTAAGCCCTCCATTAGCGGGATCCACCGACCTTTACAAACCACATTTTGTACTCTGTCGTGGACCTTCAGTTCCAAGTGCTTATCTCCCCCAGGTTTCCTGATGTCCTGGCTTTACACCTTTTCTCATTTAGCTCATCCTACCTGGCAGAATCTCTCCATGGCCTTCACCTATCCACACACTGCCTGTACTTTCATGCAGCACAAACCCCACAGGCTCTAGTCACCTTCTTTGATGCCTCTCCCCTAAACTCCTATAGCCACAGATCTGGTGGCACCTGGATGCTTTAGACATATCTCTGTGTTTTATAGAATTACAGACTTAAGTCTTATGTTTTAGATCTCATTGTCAACCCAATGTGGAGGGGGCCATAGCTTATATAGCTTTGATTTCCTGATGAGGATGGGCTAAGAGGAAATTATATGAATTTTAAGGTTGGACAGGTTAAGGACAGTTCAATTCTGACTCCACTAGAAGCTTGAACAAGTTGAGTTTAATCTCCTTAGGTTTTGCAAAATTGGATTATAATTCTTGCTAAATGTCACAAGGATTAAAAAGAGCTAGCAAATGTGGAACACTTGGACTTTATTAAGTGTTCAGTAAATATTTGTAAATCAGTAATAGAACTTTAATAAATATTTCATTGGCTGATTGACTGATGTGGATATCCTTAAACAATCTCTGGCTATCATCAACACATACCCCTTAGTATCGGTACTCAATAGAACAGCGTATTCCCAACATCAGTTAAAGGCTCCTTTCTGTTATGTGCTAAGTCTTAAAGTGAGACCGGCTGCATCCTAAGTCTTCTCCCAGACATCACTACAGAACATAGTCAAAGCAGTCAAAACATTACTATAAACACAGCCCCATTCACTAACGCATTTATCAAATACTCTTTGAAATATGCATTAAGGAATTATGTATAATAATCTGTGATTGAAGTTTCTGGTGAGTTTCCATACTTTTTGAGAATCAGCTAAGCTGATGTGATCCAATGCATTTCAATCACTGCTGAAATCCAAGATATCACTTAAATCCAATAAAATATTAAATTGGACTCTTATTTAATACACTGCTGGAGTAAATCAAATAAGCCACATTCTCTCTGAGCACATCCTTGCATTTATTATGCCACTGATTTTTCTCCACAAATATAAGCAAGCTAAAGATAGCCAAGTAAAGCATAGGTTATTGTGAACTAAAGGGGTCCTTCTGCTTGAATGGCCTGAAGTAACCATTCTGAAAAGTTTGCATCCAAATGCTTCAACTTGCAAATGTTGCTTACTCTCTGTTCAAGCACAATCAAATTAAAAATTCATCTGTTACACTGCCTATACACTGTGCACAGTGAGGCAGATTCCTAAGGATAAGAAAGGCCACTGAATGCAAATCAAAACCACAATGAGATATCACCACATAACAGTCAAAGTGGCTAGTATTGAAAAGACAAGAAATAATACGCGTGGGTAAGGACGTGAAGAAAAGGGAACTCATGCACATTTGGGGGGGGGGCTTGTAAATTGGTGCAGTCATTATGGAAAACAGTATGGAGGTGCCTCAAAAAATTAAAAATAGAACTATGGTACGACCCAATAGTTCCACTTCTGGGTATTTACCCAAATAAAACAAAACACTAATTAGAATAGATATATGTACCCCTATGTTCATTGTGGCGCTATTTATAATAGCCAAGATACGGAAGCAACGTAAGTGTTTATCAACAGATGAGTGGATGAAGAAGATGTGGTACATATATGCAATGGACTATTACTCAGCCATAAAAAAGAATGAAATGTTGCCATTTGTAACAACGTGGATAGGCCTAGATGACTTTGCTAAGTGAAATAAGTCAGAGAATGGTAAAGACCATATGATTTCACTTACATGTGGAATAAAAAAATGAAACATTAACAAATTAACAAAACAGAAATAGACTCATGGGGAACTGGTAGTTGCCACAGAGGACGTGGGTGGGAGGACAGGTGAAGGGTAAAGAGGATAAAGAGGAACAAACTTCCAATTCTAAAATAAATAAGTCACAGGGATGAAAATTATAGCAGAGAGAATACAGTCAATAATAATGTAATAACTTTGTATGGTGACAGATGGTAACTACACTTACATGGTGAGCATTTCAAAATCTATACAATTGTTAAATCACTATGTTGAACACCTGAAACTAATGTAATATTGTATATCAACTAGACTTCAATTCAAAAAAAAAGAAAGGTCACTAAACCCATCGTGTTCTGGGATAAACAGAGTCATAGAACTTTAGTATGGTCATTCCTACTCAGGTCAAGATCTCCTTTTATGTGTAATATTTTGATCATTCAGTTAAAATAACTCAGGGAAAGGAAAGAAGATCAGAAGGCAGTTTCCCGTTCAATCAAGAGTGGATCCAGAGCTAGATCAAGGCCTTTCTCAAGGCTCTGTCATTATTATCAGGAGTAGAGGACCCTAATCCATTGCAGTATGACTTCTAATGCCTGTCAGTAGGTTCAAACAGATTCAATAAGCTATTGCAAGTAAAGTGTTTAAAATAAAGGCTTTAAATGTCAGGTTCTCATAGTTCCCTGCCTAGCAGCTTTCTGCTCTTCCCCTGTCCACCCCTTAGTGACTCTCATCCATTCCCAAGGCTTTGTCTATCATCAATATGTGATGGGCTGTCAAATCTCTATTCAGATATCCAAATACCTACCCAGAGTCACTGAAATTCAGCATGATCAAGACAGAGTTCACTCCCTGTCATTACCTGCTGCTCCTTTTCCTGTAATTCTCACCACATGCAATGGCCCACATGACTCTTCATTATCTAAGCTAAGAGTCATCATACCGCAGCTTCTCTCTTTACAAAAAAAAATCTATCACCATGTCCTGTCAATTTTAGCTACAAAATATCTCTCAAATCATCTCACTACTGTAAGTGAGCTAACTTCACAAGAACCTGCCTGACAGTCTTCAGACTAGACTCCCTGTCTCTCTCGCCCTCAGGCCATTCTCTCATTGTCATCAGAGTAAAATCCCTATGGTGTCTGTGAGCTCCACAGATCTCATGCTGGAGCCACAGCTCCTTTTTCAGCTTTCTCTACCATTCTTCTTGGCCTTAACTCCATGAACCAGTCATATGAACCCCATGCAGAGCAAACCACTCTTCTGCATGCTTTGAGCTTTCACCCACAGTCTCTTTGCTCTACTGTCCTTCTCTCCAGTTGCTTATGCACTCAAGAGGGTGTGGCCTAAACATTACTGTGAGGTAGCTTATCTTCCCACCCATG